CAGCAGAGAGTCACACCCCTGGGGATAATCTTTTAATGTAGAGAGACCCACTGGCCTAATTAGTGTCATGAAGTCTGAACAATAAGGGTAGCGACTCCTCTTCCAAAGGAAGGGGCAAGCAATGCAGAGAGCTGAGAGAAGAGGATTAAAAAGTTCCTCATCAGAAGGCCTCAGTATCTAGTTTTTTATCATCTAAGGCTTTTGTATTATAAGGTGCTCAACGCTGTTGTTGTTGTTTAGTTGCTCAGTTGTGTCCAACTCTTTGTGACCCCATGGACGTCAGCATGCCAGGCTTCCCTGTCCTTCACAATCTCCCGGAGTTTGCTCAGGCTCATGTCCATTAAGTCAGTGATGCCATCCAACCATCTCATCCTCTGTCATCCCCTTCTCCTCCTCCCTTCAATCTTTCCCAGCATCAGGGTCTTTTCCAATCGGTCAGCTCTTCGAATAAGGTGGCCAAAGTATTGGAGCGTCAGCCTCAGGTTCAGTCCCTCCAATGAATATTCAGGGTTGATTTCCTTTAGGATTGACTGGCTTGATCTCCTGACTGTCCAAGGGACTCTCAGGAGTCTTCTCCAACACCACAGTTCAAAACCATCAGTTTCCCGGTGCTCAGGCTTCTTTATGGTCCAACTCTTACATCCACACATGACTACTGAAAAAACTATAGCTTTGCCTATACAGACCTTTGGTGGCAAAGTAAAGTTTCTGCTTTTCAATACACTGTCTCGGTTTGCCAGAGCTTTTCTTCCAAGGAGCAAGTGTCTTTTAATTTCATGGCTGCAGTCACCATGTGCAGTGATTTTGGAGCCCAAGAAAAAAAGTTTGTCACTGTTTCCATTGTTTCCCCATCTATTTTTCATGAAGTGATAGGACTGGATGCCATGATCTTCGTTTTTTGAATGTTGAGTTTTAAACCAGCTCAATATTGTACTACTCTTAAGACTTAATACAAGCTTCATTTATGACTGATTTTCACTTCACCTTGTTACTTGAGCCTTCTCTTATGAACTATTATATTTATAAGCATTTATTTCCCATGGCTCTGCTAAAAAGTGAAAAATCATAATCACAATCAAGTCCAGACAACATGCAAAATAATAATGCAGTTTAAAAGCATTATGAGAGTACTACCTCATTATACACAGATGGTGTCTTTGTGGTGGTTAGCACACTCATGGAAAGAAACAACAGGTCTCATTGATTTTTTTGGAAAACTTCACTTTGGGAGATTTGGCAAGAATTTTTCGTCCTCCACAAATTCAGGGGCCCCAGAGTTCACCAGGGTGCAATGTGAGCTCTATCATAAACCACTAAAGAGGTCAAGAAAACTTTATGCTGCAATAGATAACCAGGCTCCTCCCTCAGGTCTCATCAGCCATGTCTGCTGTTTTTACCAACACCTGTGAAAACTTATTTTCCATTTCTACTATTCTTTTCATTACAGTCTTTCTATAGGTGAATGACTAGAATGAACAGTCACCACTTTGGCATGCAGGTTCTTCCTCAGTCTGTTTCTGACTTACCTTTGTAGAGTTAGATCATATTCCTGAAGACTCTGCTTTAGGTAAGTCTTTTTTTTCCTCACCTCTAAGCTTTTCTCGCCATATTCTTCGTAATGCCTAGCATATTACTGCTGATTTTTCTCGGTCCCTCATTCAGCTGCCCTGTCTACTGAACTAGGAGGTCTAAGAGAACCTCACACACATATGGAAGTTGGCACTACTGTGGGCAGGGGGGCCTTGGTCTCCAGCGGCTCACCCTCCGGCAGGCTTCCTTATATGGTGTTCTCAGGAGTGTGACCATGAGGATGAAAAACAGAAGCTATTAGGCCTCTTATGGCCTAGACTCTGGAAGTCACATGTTTTTACTCCAAGTGTACTCTACTAGTTAAAGCAAATAAGCAATGCCAACCCAGTTTCAAGGTACAGAGAAATAGACTTCTAGATGAGTGGATCAGTAGAGCCATATAACAAAGTGGAATATACACCAGGATGGGGGGAATTATGGCCATTAAAAAATTCTTCACACATGACAAGAGAGACAGCAGCTGTCAGATTGTACTGATACAGAATCCATGGCCTCCTGGACAAAGGCTCCTTAGAATGCTTCTGCCTAGAGACAGGATGGGATCCAGGGTCCAATGTAGATGTGGATATCAAGAAGCAAGCAGATCATTACAAAGCTGCCTTACCATCACTGAGCGTGTTCTAGTGTGAGTTGAAAGGACAAAACCACATCACATACTACTCCTGATGGAAAGGCAGGGAGATGGTTATACATACAGCTCCACCATGCTGGCAGTAAGTAAAGACTGAGTTCCTGAGTCTGGTCATCTGCTTTTTTACACCATCAAACTCCACTGTCAATATGCCAAGACTTGATTAGTATCCTGGAGTCTGGACCATGCTAATCAAACTCAGGCAAATCAGACCATGCTAATCAAAGGAATAGCTCTTGTACAAGGAAGATTGCCATAATTTGCAAAGATACAGACTATTAGAGTTTGGTTGCTTGCGTTCCTACCGTAAAGCAACACAAAGATCCAATGTGGATTCAAAAAAAATCTTAGCCAGAATAGGATCCTTGTCAGGGAGATGTGTCAAAATGAAAAAATGATAGGCTGGGCTCAGAGTATCCCTGCCAACTAGTAGTTCTGGGACCGCTCTCTTAGAGAAGTGTTACTCTCCCAGTTACTGCCAGTTTGTTCATCTGTAAAATGAGCATAATTATGCTTACCTGGAAGAGTTGCTATAAGAATTAGAAAGCACAGTAGTGTACAATAAACATTAATTATTAAAAATCACTATAAAGTGCTGAATGCTATTGTGAGACATCGTTAAATACACACTTCACTTCAGATAACACCAAGATCTAAGTGCAGGGTCGGACACTGAACACACCCTGTCCCTTGGACTCATAAGATACTGTTAGCATGTGTCGTGAAATACAGGCCAAGATTCAGAATATTGCATGAGTGCCACTTCCTCTGTCAAACCTTGCCGAACATCTCCTATGTCTCCATTCTCACATCACTACGTATATGTTCGTAAAGGGCTCGGAAGCAGAGGGATAAACGCACTAGAAGTAAAAATCAGTCTCATGATGTCCCATGACCTGGATAGAATGTACTCACCAAGGTGTGAGAAACAGTTCAGCTCATCTCCCAAGATCAAGATTGTATAAAACCATAATGACAGGCTTAATAACAACCACATTGGAGGTATTTTGCCCATCTTAACACTGTGCTGTCCTCAGTCACTTTAGTCGTGTCCGACTCTTTGCGACCTATGGACTGAAGGCTGCCAGGCTCCTTTGTCCATGGGATTCTCCAGGCAAGAATCCTGGAGTGGGTTGCCGTGCCCTGCTCCAGGGATCTTCCTGACCCAGGAATTGAACTCATATCTCCAGCATCTCCTGCATTTCAGGAAGTTTCTTTACCCACTGAGCCACCTAGGAAGCCCATTAGCACACTAAGACCCCCTAAACCTTGTTCCCATTAGCTCATGGTATCAGACTGTGGAGAAGCAAACCTACAGATCTGTCTCCTGACTACCTTCATAAGGCATGTTAACACTAACACATTGCAATTAAATGTTGAGATTAATTTCCCATCATGATTCCCAAGGAGAAGCAATGCTGTGTTGAATAAAATGACATTATAAAGCTAGAGTGAAGTGGGAAAATGCATAATTTTCTTAAAAATAGAAAAACAATAGTATTTCAACCATAGTCCTTAATTTTCCCCCTTTTTCCCAAAATAATTAATGTATTATTCCTTCTTTTATTCCCTTTCAACAGTACCTCTCACTCATGATCTTGCTGAAATAACAGGCCATGCCAATCATTTTGATGATCACTTTAGCTGTTATTCTTCCCACTAGTGAGCAGAAATAATCAGTATTTTTCAGTTTAGATTCATCCACTCAAATAGACACCTTCAACAGGAAGAAGGCATCTATATTTCCACATCTCACTTTCAGGAAAACTTCCATAATACTCAAACTATTGATCAAAAATGAGCCCTAGTCTGAGACATACTGGAAATTTCCCTGGGCAAAGGAGATTAGCTAAGATCAGGTGACCCCAAGATTCAGGTAAAACTCAGCAGCTAGCAATCCAGACCACAGAATCAAAAATGAAGGAATTTTCGCTCTTCAACATTCCAAATAGTAGATACGGTTGATCCCTAAACAAAATGAGGGTTAGGGGCACCTATCCTCCACAAGCAAAAATTTGCCTATAATTTATAGTCTGCTCTTTATATCTGGAACTCCTCTGCATTTCTGTATTCAACCAACAAACTTTAGATTGTGTAGTACTATTGAAAATCCGTATATAATTTATAGTCCGGCCCTCCATAACTGAGTTCCCTCTCTATCCGTGGACCTGTATCACAGATTGAACCAATCTCGGATGGTGCAGTAATGCAGTATCCACTGTAGAAAAACATCTACATATAAGTAGATCTGTGCAGTTCAAGACCGTGATGTTCAAGGGTCCACTGTACTTGTCTTACTTACACTGTACTTGTTCAAGGGTCCACTGTACTATCAGGCTGCCAGGACAAAATACCACAGATTAGGTGATTCAATTATATGACTCAAATTATATTTTCTCACCTTTCTGGAAGCTGGAAGTCCAAGATCAGGGTACCACAAGTGTCAGGTTCTGGTGAGAGCTCCCTCGGGGTGGGCAGACAATCATCTTCTTGCTGTGTCCTCACTTCACGCTGTGTAAAAATATTTAAGTAAGTAATGGACAAGTAATTCGAGGCCTGAACAAAGGCGTGAAGAATAACAACAACAAACAATTCTGTTAAAGTAGCATATAGGCTCTCGGTCCCATATTGAACTCGAGTTGGGAGAGCCGAGTCCGGTCTCAAAATGGAGGTAAAACCGCCGCCCGGTCGCCCCCAGCCCGACTCCGGCCGTTGCCGCCGCCGCCGCCGCCGCCGCCGCCGCCGCCGCCGCCGGGGGGAGGAGGGTCATGACCCCAAGGAACCAGAGCAGCTGAGAAAGCTGTTTATCGGTGGTCTGAGCTTTGAAACTACAGATGACAGCTTAAGAGAACATTTTGAGAAACGGGGCACGCTTACAGATTGTGTGGTGATGAGAGACGCCCAAACAAAACGTTCCAGGGGCTCTGGCTTTGTGACTCACTCTTGTGTTGAAGAAGTGGATGCAGCAATGTGTGCGCGACCGCACAAGGGTGATGGGCGTGTAGTGGAGCCAATGAGAGCTGCTTCTAGAGAGGATTCTGTAAAGCCTGGTGCCCATCTAACAGGGAAGAAAATTTTTGTTGGTGGTATTAAAGAAGATACAGAAGAATATAATTTGAGAGACTACTTTGAAAAGTATGGCAAGATTGAAACCATAGAAGTTATGGAAGACAGGCAGAGTGGGAAAAAGAGAGGATTTGCTTTTGTAACTTTTGATGATCATGATACAGTTGATAAAACTGTTGTTCAGAAATACCACACTATTAATGGGCATAATTGTGAAGTGAAAAAGGCCCTTTCTAAACAAGAGATGCAATCTGCTGGATCACAAAGAGGTCGTGGAGGTGGATCTGGCAACTTTATGGGTCGTGGAGGAAACTTTGGAGGTGGTGGAGGTAACTCTGGCCGTGGTGGAAACTTTGGTGGAAGAGGAGGCTATGGTGGTGGAGGTGGTGGCAGCCGAGGGAGTTATGGAGGAGGTGATGGTGGACACAATGGATTTGGAGGTGATGGTGGCAACTATGGCGGTGGTCCTGGTTATAGTAGCAGAGGAGGTTACGGTGGTGGTGGACCAGGATATGGAAACCAAGGTGGTGGATATGGTGGCGGTGGTGGAGGATACGATGGTTACAATGAAGGAGGAAATTTTGGAGGTGGTAACTATGGTGGTGGTGGAAACGATCATGATTTTGGAAATTATAGTGGACAACAGCAATCAAATTATGGACCCATGAAAGGGGGTAGTTTTGGTGGAAGCAGCTCGGGCAGTCCCTATGGTGGTGGTTATGGATCTGGTGGTGGAAGTGGTGGATATGGTAGCAGAAGGTTCTAAAAACTCAGAAGAAAAGGGCTACAGTTCTTAGCAGGAGAGAGAGCGAGGAGTTGTCAGGAAAGCTGCAGGTTACTCTGAGACAGTCGTCCCAAATGCGTTAGAGGAACTGTAAAAATCTGCCACAGGAGGAACGATGATCCACAGTCAGAAAAGTTACTGCAGCTTCAACAGGAAACCCTTCTTGTTCAGGACTGTCATAGCCACAGTTTGCAAAAAGTGCAGCTATTGATTAATGCAATGTAGTGTCAATTAGGTGTACATTCCTGAGGTCTTTTATCTGTTGTAGCTTTTTCTTTTTCTTTTTCTTTTCATTACATCAGGTATATTGCCCTGTAAATTGTGGTAGTGGTACCAGGAATAAAAAATTAAGGAATTTTTAACTTTTCAATATTTGTGTAGTTCAGTTTTTCTACATTTTAGTACAGAAACTTTAACAAAATGCAGTTTTGAAGGTGTTTCCTTGTGAGTTAACAAGTAAAGAAGATCATTGTTAATTACTATTTTGTATGAATTTTGCTAAAGTTAACTGTAAAGAAACACCTGCTGACTTGCAGTTTAAGGGGAATCTATTCTCCCCATTTCCAAACCATGAAACAAATGGCTCTGACATGTGGAGAGAATAGATATTTGTATGTTTGCAATATGTGTTTTAGATAATAGAGTTGGGTATTTAAATTAGCATATTTGTGAATTTAATAGCATTAAGATTTACCTTCAAATGAAAAATCTCAAAATTTCAAAAAAAAAAAAAATAAAGTAGCATATAGGTTCTTTAAAGGAGAATGTGAAAGGTGTGATTGGAAGGACTAGATGCAAAAGAACTTGAATATCAAGTTAAGCACTTTAATTTTATCCTACAGTTAATGGTTACATAAAGAAGGTTTCTGATGAGACAAGAGCCATGGTTAACGGGACACTTTAGGGAAACTATCATGGAGAAGAACTTTGCAAGGTAGAGATCAGAAGAAGGGTAATTGATTAGGACATCACTGCAGGGGTCCAGTCAAGTTACTCTGAGTTGAATCTTTACAAAGTTGTTACTATCTAAGATGAATAGGGCAGATTATTTCTCTCTTTGGCAAATGAGGGAAAGGAGCCTCTAATGTCCCAAATTCTGCGGATTAAGAGACTAAATTGTGATCTCGGGGCTGGTAGATTGTAGAGTGTGTAACTAACCTTACAGATTTCTAACTCCAAGTCCGATCCCATTATTTAAACAAACATTTTCTAAGTCAAGAATAAAATGGATAATTTCCATATGGTTCCCTTTCTCCTGGAGGGCAATCTTTATTCTTCTCCAAAAAACCCAGACGTTTTTAAAAAAAAAATAAATCTACTTGGTTTTTCAAGTAGAAAAGGAGAGTTGAACTAAATTCCACATTGGTGGAAATCTACAGGAAATGTATCATAACGGTTAAGAGCATGGGTACCAGTAAGCAGCTGGGTCCAAATCCTGGCTCTGCCAAGTATAAGTGTGGCTCCCAAAGCCCCACTTTTCTTATCCATAAAATGTGAATGTATTAGAACATATCATGAGATAGCCATGAAAAGTGCCAGCTGCATAGCAAATATTCAGTAACCATAAACCGTGGATACTCTTAAATACATCAAATAAGAAAAATTCTCAGTTGTTTAAGCTGAAAATGTGTTGAGCAGGTTCATACTGGTCTCTAGAATCAAATGTGTTCTCCCAGTTGGAAGAATAAGTCACCTGTGGCCAGGCAGAGAGAAGGAGGTTTACTTTTTTTTTTTTTTTTTTTTAGGAGGTTTACTTTAAACAATGAAAAGGGAAAATTCACTACGGACATTTTTGTTTAATTTCAAACATACCATGAGAAAGACAAAGAACATTCTATCTATCCAAAAAAAAAAAAAAAAGATCATGTATTATACCTACTAGAAGGTCAAACTTGTAGTTTCAATCTTTCAATGGTATATGCACATGCTAATTTACAAAGGTAAATTCTGTCGATTAAAATGAAATGATTTTGCTTGGCAGTCAAGTGCAGGAAGACAAACATCAAATCTCAGTAGCTACACTTCCAGCTGTTTTGCAAACAGAGATAAAAGATAATCCCTGACTAAATAGCATCACTTTCCGGATAAAAATCAACTCTGAAGAGCACTGCATTGAATAGGGGAAGCCAGGTTTACTCTAAAAATATCCAATAATTGGGGCTGAATAATATTTATTAGAAGAACTTATGCACAGTGTTGAAACTGACAAGAGTGTTGCTTTTTGGCACAGCATGGTACAAGTATCAGTAATTAAGGAAAAACTTAAAGAGCATCTGCAATGAGAATGCTCAGTATGGCAAATCTCTCTGCAAGTAAATTTACCATGCTTCATTATTGGTATCCAGCCAAAGACACACAGAACAATTTAAATGTCATGTGATATCACATCACTTCATAAAGCTTCAAGATTTCTAAGCTCTACCACCATTTATGGAATTACCAGTATCATTACTAACACTTGCCCTATCCCCATCAACAACCTCACTTCTAATAGCAGCTCTATTAGAAGTGAGGCCAACTCACTATCTTCACCTCTTCAACTTTCATTACGTCTTCTACCACCATAAGCATCGTCAGTTCTACCACCGATGTTGCCAGCTCTGCCACCAACATCATCATTCCCGTATCTATCTCCACAACTCCTTCACCAACACTATCCACCAACCACTCCACCATGTCCACCATCCCCTCATTGTTACTGGCTGGAGCACACTTGTCACCACACACAGCACTCACAGTCATTACCATAGTTCTTCATGGACCTCTAGTTTATCAAATGCTACAGACCCACGTAGTTTCCCTTTCCTCAATCCAAACTGCTAAACTGAGTGGCAATATAGAAAATTAGTCATATAGCAGTTAATCCTTCTGTATGCTGATCCCAAACTCAGTTTCTGCTGAACTGCTCACAATTTAGGGTAGAGAATAGATGTGCAAACAAGCAGACCATTTCTGTTTTTATTTTTTATCTAGCCACTTTACCACTGCCATTTCAATGGCATGGATTATTTTTAATATGGCCACTGCATATTGGAAACTCACCCATTTCTCATCCCATCCCGCACCCTCAATTTACGACACATCCCTGACAGTGGAATTCAGCAAGAGTATGTTACCTGGGTATAGGATAAAACAAAATAGCTTACACATTCAATCCTAAAGGAAATCAACCATGAATATTCATTGGAAGGACTGAAGCTCCTGAGACTGAGGCTCCTGAGACTGAGGCTGAAGCTCCAATACTTTGGCCACCTGATGCAAAGAACTGACTCACTAGAAAAGACCCCGATGCTGGAAAAGATTGAGGGTGAGAGGAGAAGGGGACAATAGAGGATAAGGTGGTTGGATGGCATCACCAACTCTATGGACATGAGTTTCAGCAAACTATGGGAGATGCTGAAGGACAGGGAAGTATGGTGTGCTGTAGTCCATGGGGTTGCAAAGAGTTGGACGTGACTTGGCCACTGAACCCCAACAATAATTTTAATAAAAGTAGTAATCCTACTGATAAAAGCATACTTCAATCAAAGGAGCCACATCAAAGTTACAGTGTCAAGAAATCTCTAGGATCAGAGATTACATTAAAATGCCCACTTTGAAAAACCTTCAATTACAGTTGACAATAACATGTGCTAAATATTATGGTACCAATAATGCATTCTGCAAGAATTACATTTTCTGATGACAAAGAACACAAACTCACGTAAAAAATTTTTTCATGTCATTTAGAAATTCCCCAAGTCCAATTTGTTCATGTGAAAAAATTTGATCAACTATTTCTCAGGTGAATCCCCATACTCATACATTACAACCAAAAATACTTTCACTTAATGAATTAACAAGAAGTCAAGATGTTGCATTGTTAAAAAAAAATAAAAGTATCTGATGGGAAGCAGATGGGAAACTTAAGAAAATGGGGGAAAATCTTTGGTTGATGGTAAAGAACAATTATACTGGATATCTTTCAGCTTTCTATATATGCTCAGAAGCATCCAACTCTTTGCAACCCTGTGGACTGTAGCCTGCCAGGCTCCTCTGCCCATGGGATTTTCCAGGCAAGAATACTGAAGTGGGTTCCATTTCCTTCTCCAGAGGAGGGCTTCCCTGTTGGCTCAGATGATAAAGAATCCACCTGCAACGCAGGATATCCAGGTTCCACCCCTAGGTCATGAAGATGTCCTGGAGAAGGGAATGGCAACCCACTCCAGTATTCTTGCCTGGGAAATCTTATGGACAGAGGAGTCTGGCGGGCTACAGCCCACGGGGTTGCAAAGAGTCAGACACGACTGAGTGGCTAACACCTTCACACTTTCTTTTCACTTCCTCCAGGGGCTCTTCCCCAACCCAGGGATCGAACCCATGTCTCCTAAGTCTCCTGCACTGGCAGGTGGAGTCTTCGCCACTGAGCCACTAGGAAAGCTGAGTAGCAACTATTTCCCGTGGTTGCTAGCATCTGCCTGCCTCAATTCTTCTAAACCGGCCCATTCATCTGCAAGTAACCACTCTGCTAAGGTTCCTGAATTCCAGCCATCTGGGATGAAGTCTAACTCCTGATAGCAGCCTGATTGAAACAGCAGTGAAGAGGAGATATGACACTTATGCTGCTCTTTTAAATACCTTGAAAAGAGG